CTATCCTGTATATACATACATACAAAATTTCTCCTTCTTTCCCTTCTCTTTTCCCACATCCCAGAAGCCCTTTACTCTTCAGTGGTTTTCTATCATTTCACAGTGTCTAGGTAGATAGCATTATGTTGAGAGCATATGCAAGAAGGAGAGATCACATGGCAATACAAGCATCAAGAGACTGGCAAAGGACTGGGCTTGCTCTTTGTTATAGCAACTCATTCTTGCAAGGCTAATCTAATCCATGAGACTAGTACCTCTGGGGACAGTGGCGCCATGTCCTAATCACCCTCCACTAGGCTAGAGCTCCTAAAAGTCCTACCACTTCCGTAGTACCGTACTGGAAGCCAAGCTTCCAGCTCATGAAACTATGGTGGGCCCACGCAGATAATACCCAAGCCCCAGAAACTTCCACTGAAGGAGTTAACATAATCATGGTTGGATTTTATATTTTAGGCTGATCACTGTGATGGCTATGTGGGGGACAGATTTGGAAGACACAATATGAGAGGCAGAGCAACCAGTTAAAAGTCAGAGGTGATGGGTTGTATAAACAAAACGCTGTGGGGCTGAGGATTTAGCTCAGTGGCAAAAGCCCCTGCCTGGCAAGCGCAAGGTCATGAGTTCGGTTCCTGGTACTGGGAAAAAAAACAAACAAAAACAAAACAAAACAAAACAAAAAAACGCTGAGAGTAAAGGGTGGAAAGTCAGGTTGAAGACATTTCTAGGAAGTAAATTTATAGAACATGGGGGCTTTGAGATGTCACAAATGAGAGGTAAAAGTTATTATTGTTGAAAAGTTAGCACTACTCATTGACATTAATCTCTAACTGATCAACAGGTCAGTGGGAAGGCTGGGCAGGAATAAAACAATGAACAAATTGGAAGGAAAGGAGATTAATACTACTACCGATCAATGACCTTCAGATTAAATGGACCATTAACTCTGCCTAGAAATCTAAACATGAAATAAATCAATCTCCCAATTCCACCCAGTAATTATTTTATACCTTTCATTGAGTTTTGAACCTTCTTACTTGAACATTCTCTGGAGATGATTTCCTTTTGTAATTTAAAGTATAAATGGATGGCTGGGCATGGTGGCGCATGCCTGAAATCCCAGCACTTGGGAGGCTGAGGCAGGAGGATCGTTGGGAGTTCGAGACCAGCCTGGGCTACAAAGTGAGCTCAAGGCCAACCTGAACTGCAAAGTGAGACCCTGTCTCAAAAAAAGGACAAAAACAAGAAACAAAGTATAAATGGATGCCATCAGATAGAAAATCCTAAATCTACAAACAATTCTGCACTCACCCTCTTGTTTCAATATATCTCATATCTTAGGGCAGTGCTTTTGCTTGTTCTCTAAATTTTATCCACTATAGTCTTTGCTTGGACCTTGATTCATCAATTATCCTCTTTGTTTGTCATTATCCTCAATCTTTCCCTAAGGAAAACAAAGAAACCTTTCTATGGAAACTATGGAAGTGTGCCACCCAAGCCTCCAACCAATGGTCCCATCTGCTGTGCTCTGAAATCCATTCCTGTGTTTGCTTCTCTCCCTGTGCCCCAAAGCTGCTCTACTTCTTGCCCATTCCTAGAGTCATGGGACTCCTCTGAAAGGTGACTTTGACTTGAGGAATTCCTCATGGCTTTGCTGAACCTTTCTTAGGCTGTACAGTAGTTCTTAGGAGATTTCCTTATAACTTTTCTTCCTTTTCTCCTACTGTGGCATCTCCTAGCTTTTTCCAGATCCCTCTCCATTTTCTCACACAAGTGTTTCTGATAATAAAAAATATCTTTGCATAGTCTAATCCCATCCTGATGTTTGATTCTGAATTTTAACACACACACTTAACATTATGTTTCCTTGAAACTCTTACTGCATCATTCTCTTTTCCTTCATAGCTAAAATTCCAGAATGAGTTGTCTTCTCTTCATTGATTGTTATTTGACTCAGCCTGCTGCTCGTATGAATTTAACTTCAATATCTGCTATACCCACCATCTCATCAAAATTGCTGTTATCTCTGTGTCACAAAATCTAATGTGTAGCTGGGTCTTTATTTTAGCTCTCATTAGCATTCATCACCAATGACCCTCCTTGAACATTGGCTTTTGATTTTGTGATTTTATCCCATCCTTGTTTTTGCCTGTAACTCTCTGACTTCTCTTTTTCAGCTTCTTTTACTGGCTTTCCCTACCCTACTTAACCCACTATTTGGAAGTACGCCTTTTTCTTTGTTCATATGTATTCTCCTTAAACCATTTCATTTGCACCCATTGTTTTTATTATCACTTCTAGTAACTGCATTTTATATCTGATTTGCCATCTTCCTGACATTCCCATGTGGTCCTATCTCTACTTAGATGTCTTAAAAACATTGAAAATTCAGTATTTTTGAAAGTTAGCTCATCTAACTAGTTGTTTGTGTTAGTTTCCTCTGGCTACTGTAACAAATCACCACAAATTTGGTTTACAAGTCAAATGTATTATCTTACAATTCTGCAAGTCAGAAGTCTGGTATGTGTCTCATGGAACTAAAATCAAGGCATGGGTGTATTTGTATTCCTTCTTCCATGGGGTGAAGCTGTTCAAAGGCTGCTCACATTCTTGATCTCATGGTCTCTTCATTTATCTCACAACCAGCAACAACAGCTTAAGTCTTTGTCACATTTCATCACCCCAAATTCCTCTACTGTGTCTATCCTCCACTTTTAAGAATTTTACAGGACCCACCCAGATAACCCAGGAAAATATCGCTATGTTGAGGTCAGCTCATTGACAACATTAGTTTCATCTGGAACCTTAATTCTCTTTTATATTTAAAGTAGCACACACTTCACTGACTAAGCCATAGTCCTCTTTGAGGAAGATGAGTCCTTTCACTTAACACATCATTAAAGCTTGTAATTTGAAAGCCATCGGTTACTCTTTAATCTCTTAGGGGCCCTGTTATGTACTGTTAGTGTCCTT